GGAGAAGTGGCTTCTTAGAGATATGTCTAAGAAGCCACTTCTCCCAGTTTCTCAGCATTTCAGACAGTCTGGTCACACACTTGATGACTTTAACCGCATGAAGATCCTAGTGATTGAACAGAACATTCACTGGAGTGATGCCCAGCGACAGGTTCGGGAAAGCTTTTGGATAAAGGAACTAAATGTACATCATCCAAACGGCATCAATAAAAAATACTAAGTTTTATTTTTCACTCATTTTGGGTTGTAAATATACACAGTCACGTATATTTGAGTATTGAGTTTTGTTTTATATTATGATGTTCAGGATTTTGGATTAAATCAATAGACCAAAACTTACCTGTATTATTGAGCTATTTTTATACATATTATCAGTATTGTTAAAATAATTGACACCGAAGAAGGCTATTTGTTAAGCCGAAATATTTGTCAACACGATTTATTAACAACATCTTCGTATAATACCATCTTATATTAGTATCGTTGTGCAAATCTCTAGACTTATATAATTTTTCTCCTTATCTGCACAGTATCGTCTATTCTAGACGATCCGGTACATAGTAAATTTGCTGGTTGGTCCTTTTTATAGACTTCTATATATATATATATATATATATATATATATAAGTCTAGAGATTTGCACAACGATACTAATATAAGATGGTATTATACGAAGATGTTGTTAATAAATCGTGTTGACAAATATTTCGGCTTAACAAATAGCCTTCTTCGGTGTCAATTATTTTAACAATACTGATAATATGTATAAAAATAGCTCAATAATACAGGTAAGTTTTGGTCTATTGATTTAATCCAAAATCCTGAACATCATAATATAAAACAAAACTCAATACTCAAATATACGTGACTGTGTATATTTACAACCCAAAATGAGTGAAAAATAAAACTTAGTATTTTTTATTGATGCCGTTTGGATGATGTACATTTAGTTCCTTTATCCAAAAGCTTTCCCGAACCTGTCGCTGGGCATCACTCCAGTGGATGTTCTGTTCAATCACTAGGATCTTCATGCGGTTAAAGTCATCAAGTGTGTGACCAGACTGTCTGAAATGCTGAGAAACTGGGAGAAGTGGCTTCTTAGAGATATCACTCCTATGGCCATTGAGGCGTTTGTGGAAAGGCTGCTTTGACTCACCAACATATTGGAGGCCACAAACCGAACATTCTAGAATGTAAATAACATTCATACTTTTGCAGTTAACATTGCAAAATATCTTATAGTTATTTTCGGTTGCCTTACTGTGAAAAGTTGATGAGTGATGCATCTGTAGGCAGCATTTGCAGCGTTTTTCATCACACGAACGACATTCTCCAGAAGTACTTCTATTATCAGACACTTCAGCCCGCACCAGCAGGTTACGCAGACTATTGGGTTGCCTAAAAGCTATCATGGGAGGCTCGGGAAAAATCTTGGATAGTTTGGAATTCTTTTCAACTGTTTTCCAATGCTCACGAATGACACCGAAGCTGTTTTTGAGAGATGGGTGGTAAGTAAGAACACATGGAGTCCTTTTATTTTTCTTTTTATATTTGTATTCTAACATTTTACTCCTTGGAATAGTTTCCGCTTTCTGAAAGCCTTTTTGGATAGTTTTGTGTTTGTAGCCCCTTCTCTTCAAGCGGGTTTCGAGTTGACGTAGTTGTTTTTTAGTTGTTTCTGAGTTGGAACATATTCGCTTGACTCTGAGTGCCTGACTGTACGGGATGCTCTTAGTACAATGAGCAGGATGGCAACTTTTAGGGGACAGATATTGGTGAGTGTCAGTAGGCTTAGAATATAGATCAGTGGATATGATGGCCATAGGAGTGATATCTCTAAGAAGCCACTTCTCCCAGTTTCTCAGCATTTCAGACAGTCTGGTCACACACTTGATGACTTTAACCGCATGAAGATCCTAGTGATTGAACAGAACATCCACTGGAGTGATGCCCAGCGACAGGTTCGGGAAAGCTTTTGGATAAAGGAACTAAATGTACATCATCCAAACGGCATCAATAAAAAATACTAAGTTTTATTTTTCACTCATTTTGGGTTGTAAATATACACAGTCACGTATATTTGAGTATTGAGTTTTGTTTTATATTATGATGTTCAGGATTTTGGATTAAATCAATAGACCAAAACTTACCTGTATTATTGAGCTATTTTTATACATATTATCAGTATTGTTAAAATAATTGACACCGAAGAAGGCTATTTGTTAAGCCGAAATATTTGTCAACACGATTTATTAACAACATCTTCGTATAATACCATCTTATATTAGTATCGTTGTGCAAATCTCTAGACTTATATATATATATATATATATATATATATATATATATATATTACAACCTACTAAAAGCGTTGTACTGCCTATTCAAACCAACAGCAATACCCATAATGATGTGACACTTCTTATGGATGAAGTGGAATCGCCTACGATTGATAAAACCACACATATAGGGATACAGAGATCAACCTGTAACACACAACTAATAACAGCGGAGGAAAATATTAAGAAAGCAAGAAGAGCTTTGTACAGCTTAATGGCAAGTGGCTTGCATGGGGAAAATGGACTAGACCGATCTACATATATATCCACCTTTAGAACATATGTTATGCCCTTCCAACTATATGGACTGGATGTTATAATGACCAATAGCATATCATTGAAAATACTTCAATATGTCTACAAGAAAATGATTAAACAAATCTTATCTTTACCAATTTCAACTGCTGACCCAGCTATATACATATTATCTGGATTACTACCCATAAATGCTGAAATCGATATAAAAAAACATTACTTGGAAATATTTTATGTTCTGACAAATCAACCGTTGAATGGAAAATAGCCAACCGTCAATTGAAAATTAAATCAAGCAAAAGCAACAGCAACAGCTAGTTCATAGATGCAAAGAAGATTTGTTTCAAATATCAACTAGCAGATCCTGTGGATTTTTTGGATACTGTAACAACTAAAGAAATGTGGAAAAAAAGTATGGTCAATAAAATTTAAACATATACTAGCATAGAAAGATCATGGACGAGAAAGAACAATTCACAAGTCTACAATATTTATCTCCAATATACAGACTTGGTCATTGTCATCCGTTAATCTTTATAACAACTTCTGACACTAAAATTGTACAAAAATTACCGCCGCGAGTGAAAATAGTTACAGAAGTATTCCTACAATCACAAAGAGCTAAATACAACTCAAATGTAGTGGATCCAACATGTCAACTATGTCAAAAAGGAGATGAAACATTATCTCATTTTCTGCTCACATACATTAGAAGCTGTTAGAAAACCTATGTTAGTAAGAATAATGCTAACGTCTGGTAGACTTTTCTCTGACAGCCACAGAGTCAATAACATTGAATTGCTAAGACTGATTTGTGATCCTTATAACTATACTGCATATTAAACAACAATGATCAAATATTGGATAATACATCCAAAATTCTAGAACCACAATGCAGGAAAATTATCCACTCACTTCATACAACACGGTATAGGCTACTTGGTTACGATAGTAAACAACCGAAAAAGAGAAGAAAAGTTTAAGGTTAATATTTAAGTGTATATAAGTGACTCATCATAAGACAGTCCAAATTATCAATACTTATTCAAATAATTTTAGATTTTAATGAATCTGTTGCGTATGTTATAAACTGACAGTGTGTGTATATATTCTTGTGGTGGATTGAACTTATAAATGTGTGATAATAACTTATATTCGTGGTGGTGGTGTATATCACTCCAGCTATATATGGAGGAGTGCCTTGTCTGGCAGAATTTATTATACGGATTACAGATTACAGGTTGAATTCCTAATATTCCAAATTCATATCTTGTAACATTAAAAAAAATATCAATATACCCTGAAAAGTTAAGAAATAGACAATATATCTAGTTAGGTTCGTTCAAGCATCATTATCTTTTTCTACACAGAGAATAGGCCACAAACTAAATATATCAATACAATAACATCTGTTGAACACACAAAAGCTTCTAGGTATATTAATTGACAAAAATTTAGACTTGAAATTTCAAATTGATTATGTATGTAAAAGCATAAGTTCTCGTATTGCACTGTTATCCAGAATTAAGAAATATCTAGATATTAGTAGTAGAAAATTATTTTATAATGCTTAATTATATTCTGCCCATATTTGATTTTTATTGCTAACTATGGGGAAACTGTAAAGCAGATGGAATTCAAAGAATTGTTAAGATGCAGAAAAGAGCTGCCAGAATTATACTTAAATACTAACACCTACTGTAAATTTATTTAAAGAGCTGCAATGGTTAAATTTCAAATCTAGTATTTCTTATCATAATATCAGTGATTCTTATTCATAAAATTCTCAACAATAAAGCACCTATAATTACCTTAAAGAACTATGTTGTCCAATTATAAACCTACCGTGACAGCAGAAATTTAAGATCTTCTGCAAATAATAATCTAGCTGTAGTGAGGCCTAATACAAGTTCGATGAAAAAATCATTCACATACAGCTCCTCAATACTTTGGAATAAACTACAAATGAAATAAAACTATGTGAAAATCTAGGTACTTTTAAAAGAACGTGTGGAGATTTTTAACTATAAATGATATCAGAAGTCCATTACTAGACTAGTAATGGACGTCTGATGATATGTAACAACTCTCTAACTCTATCATGTCTTTTTAATGTTTGTGTTTAATGTATTATTTGTTTTTCTTTTCTACAGACAATCATCTATCATGAAAGTTTAGTTATACATGTTATATGTTCAAAATTGTAATAATTGTAATATTTGTTCTGTATGGTTTTTGTAGATTAGTGAATGCTAATGGAGTCACCCTCTTTAAATAAAGTCATTATTATTATTATTATTATTATTATTATTATTATTATTATTATTACGGAGCTAATAATCCTTGCACGGAGAAGTTAGTTTTATTTTAGAATTATCGTCCTAAACGAGATTCGCCACGTTATTTTGGTAATTCAATATGTCAGCGCCCATAGTTAAGTTTGACACTTGACAAATGAAGAATTTATGTATTTTCTAGTGTCTGTGAAGTATATATAAAACTGCAACATGAAGACCGTACTGATGGTTGCTGAGAAACCGTCTCTAGCCCAGTCGATTGCTAAGCTGTTATCCAATGGGCAGATGAACAGTAGAAAAGGGTCAAATGGAGCCTGTTCTGTCCATGAATACAGAGGTGTTTTTCCTCCAACGGGAGAAAATGTGTTCTTCAAAATGACGTCTGTTTGTGGTCATGTTTATGGTCTTGATTTTGTTGGAAAGTACAATAGCTGGGATAAGGTTGACCCGGTAAATTATTAAGGTTCCGAATGCATTTGATTTTTTATTTTTAATAAGTCTTAGCACAGGCATAGCACAGGCACTTGTCTCAGAAAAATAATTTCCTTTATACCTTAATAAGTGAATTTGTAAGATACTTATACCAGTCGAGGGTATAACTCTATAGGGTTATTAGAGAAAAATATCATACATTTGTTATTGTGGACTAAATAATCCAAAAACTGTGATAACATTTGTATGTTACATGTTTCAAAGTGGCAGTATACATCCTCTTTTGTTAAATTGTATACAAATGTAGCCAAGGCTCAGTTTTGAAGGCCGTAGTTGCTTATAATCACAATGTATTTTTATTTATTGTAAATTTTTATAATGATCAGAGCATGTAATGAGGTTCTGGGCAAGCTTCCAATTCCCAAGTGTCTCATATAATAAGTTACATGCCTGTAAATAGCTACTTAAGCCTTGTTATTTTTTCTAAGTTTCCTTTAAAAGCCTTGTCTCATTGATTTACCATGGTTGATAAATAATGTATTAATTTAATTGGAAGCTATGTATTAAGTTACTGCACAAAGTTTCAAGAATTCCCAAGTGCCCACTAAAAATTGAAATATTTATGACTTATTTAACAAATAATAAACATGTGTTACTACAGATTAAGAAAATTTAAGGAATAAAGAGTAGACAACTCATGAAAATATCTGTAATAACACATGTATGATATTTTCTCAAATAACCCCGTAGAGTTACAAAAAATGTATACCCTTGACTGTATACAAGTTTATTTTATTTACTTAAATAGATAAATTATTTTAATGGCTTAGTTATGTCCCTTAGACATTCAGATTTTTTCACTTATATTTAAGTAAAAAAGTCATACTATCTACTTTTCTTGAATTTCTCAGGACTTCTTTGCTCTAATAGAATTTTTAATTGTCTGTCCTTTACAGATGTCTTTACTTATCATTTAAGTGTAATTTCATGGACAATGAAAATCTCGATTTGTCTGTTATCTTCAAAACACTGCTCATTTACAAGCTTCCAAGGGGCAATATTTGAAGGCCTTGCACAATTACTTAAGATCTTTGAGCAATAAGTTTCTTTGTTGATTTAATGAGATGAAATGTTGAACTCTAATAAAAAATTATGAGCAAACCAGAAAAAGATTGTTTAAGGAATGTTTTACATCCCTTTAGGGATTGTAAAAAAATAACTTGTACATGTACTTTTGAAAATTAAGGGGAGATTATTCATACCTTTTAAGAAAATATGAATATAACAAATTTAGTTATATAAGTATATTTATATTATATTTACTTCTACAAGTAAATAAAAATAACTTGTACAAGAAGTACCCCTGACTGCCCTATAGGGATTAATAGAGATGTGTCACTAACATATTTTCAACAGTATTTACAAGGGCAATCCCAACCCAAACACAAAGGGAGTGCTAGGACACATGGAAGTCTTATTATGGTGGAACAAGCCGAAGTACTCTGAGAGAAGCACTGGGACACGCTGTGGGAACAAACAAACGGAAGAGATATCAGCAGCTTGATCTCCAGGTCAAAGTAGGGGCAACTTTGACCAACAGAGGCCCCAATGTTTGCCTGCCAATGTCGGTTTTGCAACTCATTATTTTAATGGTATCAGCTCCTTTTGGCCAAAGTCATTCTGACCCCATAATAAAATAATGAATAATGAATATAAACATCAGAGAGTTTTGTGAAGTATTTGAAGTGGCAATTTGCACATGAAAAAGTTTTAGAAGGGATTCGTCAAATTAAACATTATTTCTCAATTTGAGAAGTTTAATTACTTTGAAAGAATAAAGTTTGCTTGCTTTAGCTTGTGTGTAACCAAATGTTATTGCTCAAGTTGAAATGGAAGATCAAAGTCATATGAACAATTGCTGATAAATATTGACTAACGATTGCACCAGCTAACTTCTGTGATATATAATTTTATTATAATTATGCAATTATTACCCAATATTCCTAATATATATAATTTCTAATATCCTAATCAACATAAATGCTATATTATACTGCATAATCATCCCTACTCATAAAACATGTTAAGTGTGATAAAATGATTTTAATATAAATATTTTATATCATATTAAAGTTATATAATTCGATATGAAATCTTATTATAAATATTTAAAATATTAAAAACAATATTCGAATAAATGTCTTCTTCAATGAAAATCATATATTTGAATATGCGTTTAAGGTACAATTTTTGATCGTCCACCTTTGCTAATGTTATAAAATTTATTAACATTTAGGAACTGCATGTCAAATATATAACCTTGTAAATGTAGACAGTGGCCTGATCGGCTTTAAATGTGGGGGCGCATCCACTTGGGCCAGATTCAATTAGTCTGTCACTAAGGTCCAGAGCACTGTTAGATAAGCGGGAGTTAACTCGTATGTACTCGAATCAAGGGACAGGGGGTTAGTCTATCGCTAGACTTAATGTTCTGATAGGCATAGCTAAAGCCTAAAATGCCATGAAGGTTTTTATAAATTAATAAATGATAACAATTTAGATGAATGATGATAACAAGTCAATTAGTATACAATGCCAAATGATAATAATATTCTAATTAAAGTACAAAGTATAATATCTAAATATCAAATCCAAAGTAAAACAATTTCTCTTTACAAAAAATAAAATAAATGCCAAAACTACTAAACCATAAAATGAACTTAATTTCAAAATCAAAATGTAAGTCTCAAAAATATAATAATTCTCAACTAGGAATTTCCAAAGTAAAAATGTGAGTCAGAGATAAATTTTGTCTCAACACCACACAGTCAACTGGTAGACTGGTGGGCAGTCTTGTAGGTCCAGTAGAAAGACATGAGTAGTGAGAGGTTACAGTTCCAAAACACTGACTGCTTTATAAAAAATTCTCAAAAAATAAAAGGTGTGTCAAAGATAAATTTTTGTCTCAACACTACAAAGACAACTGGTTGACTGATCGACAGTCTTACAGATCCAGTATAATAGACTTTAGCAGTGCAAGTTTGGGTTTCCAAAAAGATAACTACTTTTCCAAAATTTCACAAGCTAATTTATACTAAAACCAAAAACTAATCAATGTCACTCAACATGTAAATAGGACTCTCATTAGCAAAAAATAGAATATAATTAAACAAAGCATAATCCTATAATGTTTTCATAAAAAACTTAAAATATCCTAGTGACATGCTAAATTATAATTAATATTTCACATCAAATTACTTTTTGTACTTGCCACAGCATAGGTAAAAATTAATTAAACCAAACTTAATTAAAAATTTTACAAAATAAAAATATAAAATTGTCTTTCTAATTAAAACTTATTTTTAATACAAAATAACGCTAACAAAAATATAGCCAAAAAACACACCATGACAAATCTTTTACAATGTATTATTACATTGCTTTCTATATTTATCAACTCAAACTTTTAGCTTATATGAATTGCTTTGATAATGATTTTAAATAACAATGTTTTTGTTTGTAAATCACATTAATTACATAAATTGCTTGTTGAGGAAATCCTGAACAAAAATGATCAAAAATGAAGAGCTTTATCTTCCTTCAATCACTATACTAGATACTTAATTACATGATTTCTGAAAAATTTTTGCAAATAAAATATGTTTGAACTACAGTCATGACAGTCAGGGAATTCCTTTGTTGACAATCCTTGTGCAAATCATAAAAAATTTTACTTGTTAAAGTAATGTTCAAAAGCTTATTGCAGTCAGATTCTCCGTTAACTTTACAAATATTAAGACGAATTTAGTTGCTCATACGGTAAATATGATGTGTTTCACAATCATGACAATAGAATACTTATAACAACCAGATGTATAGAAACCAACCTTCAAATGTGTTCAGTTCCTTTTTTGCTTAACATGCTTAACTTCCTATTATTGAAAATTTGTGTCTATAAAATGTGTTGCACAAATGTTAAATTTTTGTCACATGTTTTCCACACTTATATGTCACATAGCTTCTTGGTACATTGCACCAACCTTAATCATATTGTGATGTACCTCTTGTTATTTCTCATAAACTTAATGACTTATCAGGAAATGGACTTTTAAATGTTTAATGTATATTTCAGAGTGAGTTGTTTACTGGACCAACACACAAAAAAGAAGCAACAGAAAAGTTAAGGATGCCAACTTTTCTATCAAAAGAGGTAAAGCAATCGCAATCAGTGTAGAAATGTAATGTGTAACCAGTGCGTCATTCAGTGTAGAAATGTAACATGTAACCAGTAAGGCAATCAGTGTAGAAATGTAATGTGTAACCAGTAAGGCATTCAGTGTAGAAATGTGATGTGTAACCAGTAAGGCAATCTGTGTAGAAATGTAACGTGTAACCAGTAAGGCATTCAGTGTAGAAATGTAACATGTAACCAGTAAGGCATTCAGTGTAGAAATGTAACGTGTAACCAGTAAGGCAATCTGTGTAGAAATGTAACATGTAACCATTAAAGCAATCAGTGTAGAAATGTGTAACCAGTAAGGCAATCTGTGCTGAAATGTAATGTGTAACCAGTAAGGCAATCAGTGTAAAAATGTGTAACCAGTAAGGCAATCTGTGCTGAAATGTAATGTGTAACCAGTAAGGTAATCTGTGTAGAAATTAATTACATTGTATGAGGTAAGGCAATCAGTGTAGAAATGTGTAACCAGTAAGGCAATCTGTGCTGAAATGTAATGTGTAACCAGTAAGGCAATCTGTGTAGAAATTAATTACATTGTATGAGGTAAGGCAATCAGTGAAGAAATAAATTACATTGTATTAAAAGAGGTAAGGCAATCAGTATAGAAATAAATTCCATTGTATCATTTCTATCTAACATTTTGTCTAAAGAGGTAAGGCAATCAGTGTAGAAATAAATTACATTGTATGAGGTAAGGCAATCAGTGTAGAAATGAATTACATTGTATGAGGTAAGGCAATCAGTGTAGAAATGAATTACATTGAATGCCAACTTTTCTATCAAAAGAGGTAAGGCAATCAGTGTACAAATAATTTACATTGTATCAATATTCAAAGTCGTGAAAAATACAAGTAAGTGGGATAAGGAATGGCTTTCTGCATCTCAAATTTTCTCATCACTTGGCTCCGTTGTCTTGTCCTCCCCTCATCATCTGTTAACTTTTACAAAAATCTTTTCCTGACTCCAGGAGTCCTGTGAGACTACTAAGCTAAATTTAACAAAACTTAGCCACAATCATCAGTGGGGTATCTAGTTTAAAAATGTGTTTGATGACCTGCTGGCCAACCAAAATGGCCAACATGGCTGAAAATATAACATAGGGGTAAAAAACAAATTTGTTTACTATTACATGTATCTTGAAAACTGTTATCTTTTTGTAGGAACTGCTCAACGAAATGACTTTATATTTGGTTAGCTGCTTGACAGTGTTGAGTTGTAACATGTGAGCACTTTTCAGATCTGACAACTTCTTCCTGTTTGCATATACATTGAATGAATTTTAAATTTTTCTTCACACTTTTGTGAAGTCCTTACTGAACAGAATGACTTGATTTAGTCAGCAGCTTGACATTGAAGACTTGTAACTTTCTAATCTGTTAGACACCTACTTCCTGTTTGCCAATACTTTTAATTTTCCAGTATATATATATATATATATATATTTATTCAAGATAAAAAGGCATGAATTTGACAGATACAAAATATTACAAAGACACAGATATAGCACTAGACATAGTTTATAGACACTAAAATGATATACCGGTACATGTTTACTAAAAATTTTAATTTAAAAAGTAAAATTATGAAATTTTCATGATATTTTGATAATATGAATAGACTAGATTTAATAATGAGTGCAATTTAAATTGACTAGATTTTCACTGTAGCCTAATATCTTAGGATGACCCACAAAAGTTATTAAAACTTGTTTCCAGTGGGGTCCTTTTATAACGAGACTTCCAGTTTACACCAAGGGTTGACACATAGAAAATACAAGCACAAATCATTTAGAATTTATCACAGATATATGGTCAAAGCCCCAGTATAATTAATAAAACACAAATTCACTATTGAAGATGGATTTAAATTTATCCATCAAAAACTTTTTCACTTGTACTTTAAAATTATATTTTTTAGAGCAACTTTTAATCATGTTTGGTAACGAATTCCAGTCTTTTATTCCATTATACAAGAAAGTGGTGGATTCACACCCTTTAATTCCTGGTATATAAAAGTTTTTACTACTAGATCTTGTATTGAAAGATGTTTCATTTTTAACAAAATTAGTATGTAAATAATTTGGGCATATATTGTTAAAAATGTTGAAAACATGATTGAGTCTTAGTTGCTTGAATCTATTACTAATATTTAAAAAGCCCAATTCTTAAATTCAATATTTTCAATGAACTTAATAAAAAATTGTCACACTTTTATCAAGTACTACTGAACAGAATAATCAGATTAAGTCAGAGGCTTAACAGTGATGAGTTGTATAAGCTGCAACATATAAATTTCTTTTGAATTTGTCAGACACTGACTTCCTGTATATTTTTAAATAACAAATGGCAGTATGCTTAGCACGACTGTCAGAAACCTACTTCCTGTATACTTTTAAATAACGAATGGCAGTATGCTTAGCACGACTGTCAGACACTGACTTCCTGTATACTATTAAATAATGAACGGCAGTATGCTTAGCACGACTGTCAGACACTGACTTCCTGTATATTTTTAAATGACAAATGGCAGTATGCTTAGCACGACTGTCAGACACTGACTTCCTGTATACTTTTAAATAACGAATGGCAGTATGCTTATCACGACTGTCAGACACTGACTTCCTGTATACTTTTAAATAACAAATGGCAGTATGCTTAGCATGACTGTCAGAAACCTACTTCCTGTATAAATTTAAATAACGAATGGCAGTATGCTTAGCACGACTGTCAGAAACCTACTTCCTGTATAATTTTAAATAACAAATGGCAGTATGCTTAGCACGACTGTCAGAAACCTAATTCCTGTATAATTTTAAATAATGAACGGCAGTATGCTTAGCACGACTGTCAGACACTGACTTCCTGTATACTTTTAAATAACAAATGGCAGTATGCTTAGCACGACTGTCATAAAACCTACTTCCTGTATAATTTTAAAAAACAAATGGCAGTATGCTTAGCACGACTGTCAGAAACCTAATTCCTGTATAATTTTAAATAATGAACGGCAGTTTGCTTAGCACGACTGTCAGACACTGACTTCCTGTATACTTTTAAATAACAAATGGCAGTATGCTTAGCACGACTGTCAGACACTGACTTCCTGTATACTTTTAAATAACAAATGGCAGTATGCTTAGCACGACTGTCAGAAACCTAATTCCTGTATACTTTTAAATAACGAATGGCAGTATGCTTAGCACGACTGTAAGACACTGACTTCCTGTATACTTTTAAATAATGAACGGCAGTATGCTTAGCATGACTGTCAGACACTGACTTCCTGTATACTTTTAAATAATGAACGGCAGTATGCTTAGCACGACTGTCAGACACTGACTTCCTGTTTACTTTTAAATAATGAACGGCAGTATGGTTAGCACGACTGTCAGACACTGACTTCCTGTATAATATTAAATAATGAACGGCAGTATGCTTAGCACGACTGTCAGACACTGACTTCCTGTATACTTTTAAATAACGAATGGCAGTATGCTTAGCACGACTGTCAGAAACCTACTTCCTGTATAATTTTAGATAACGAATGGCAGTATGCTTAGCACGAATACATGTGCATCCTTGTTGTCAAAGATCCTATAATCATTTCTCTTTTTTAAAAGTCATTTTATTACTTAAAAAGGTGAAGTTAAGTCCTAAACCTATTATGATTGATATAATACAAACATTGAATTTACTATAGAGTGTTTAGTTTTTGACTAACTTAAGCACTTAAAACAAATTTTTTGAGAGAAAATAAAAGTGGTGTATTTGTTCTCTGCCATCTTTGGATGATCATTCGTTTAATACATGTACCAGTCCAGTGTTGTTGTACATTTTTAGAAGAGTGTAGTTTTGCTGTTGTTTTTTCTTGATAAGATTAAGAGCGTAGTTTTTGGTGTTGTTTTTTCTTAATAAGATTACTTGTGTAGTTTTTGGTGTTGTTTTTTCTTGATAAGATTACTTGTGTAGTTTTTGGTGTTGTTTTTTCTTGATAAGATTACTGGTGTAGTTTTGCTGTTGTTTTTTCTTGATAAGATTACTGGTGTAGTTTTGCTGTTGTTTTTTCTTGATAAGATTACTGGTGTAGTTTTGCTGTTGTTTTTTCTTGATAAGATTACTGGTGTAGTTTTGTTGTTGTTTTTTCTTGATAAGATTACTGGTGTAGTTTTGCTGTTGTTTTTTCTTGATAAGATTACTGGTGTTGTTTTGTTGTTGCTTTTTTTTGATAAGATTACTGGTGTTGTTTTGCTGTTGTTTTTTCTTGATACGATTACTGATGTAGTTTTGTTGTTGTTACTTGATAAGATTACTGTCATCATAATAACTTTATTTCTTTACAGGGACGAGGTGTAGATTTCGTGGTGTTGTGGTTAGATAAGACGTCATAATAACTTTATTTCTTTACAGGGTAGAGGTGTAGATTTCCTGGTGTTGAGAGTTCAAGATTAATGACACCATAATAACTTTATTTCTTTACAGGGTAGAGGTGTAGATTTCCTGGTGTTATGGTTAAATTGTGACAAGGAAGGAGAAAACATTTGTTTTGAAGTAATGGAATGTGTAGAACAAAGTATGAATCGGGGATTTGGACAGGTCAGTATCTAATTCTACAAAGTATGAATCGGGGAATTGGACAAGTCAGTATCTAATTCTACAAAGTATGAACCGGGGAATTGGACAGGTCAGTATTTAACTCTACAAAGTATGAATCGGGGAATTGGACAGGTCAGTATCTAATTCTACAAAGTATGAATCGGGGAATTGGACATGTCAGTATCTAATTCTACAAAGTATGAATCGGGGAATTGGACAGGTCAGTATCTAATTCTTATAAAGGATTGAATAGATGGGTCCATTACAACCTAGATTGTCAAATTTTAAAAAATATGAACTGATTATCACAGATTATTGCAAAGTGAGTTTATTACAACAATTCTATAAAATCTCTGATGGAGCATAACATGAATCAAGAACATGCACTTCTATCATATCTATGATGGAGCATAACATGAATCAGGGAACATGCAGTTCTATAATATATGTGATGGAGCTTAATGTGAATCAGAGAACATGCAGTTCTATAATATCTCTGATAGAGCATAACATGAATCAGGGAACATGCAGTTCTATAATATCTATGATGGAGCATAATGTGAATCAGAGAACATACAGTTCTATAATATCTATGATGGAGCATAATGTGAATCAGAGAACATGCAGTTCTATGATATCTATGATGGAGCTTAACATGAATCAGGGAACATGCAGTTCTATAATATCTATGATGGAGCATAACATGAATCAGGGAACATGCAGTTCTATAATATCTATGATGGAGCATAACATGAATCAGGGAACATGCAGTTCTATAATATCTATGATGGAGCATAACATGAATCAGGGAACATGCAGTTCTATAATATCTCTGATGGAGCATAATGTGAATCAGAGAACATGCAGTTCTATAATATCTATGATGGAGCATAACATGAATCAGAGAACATGCAGTTCTATAATATCTATGATGGAGCTTAACATGAATCAGGGAACATGCAGTTCTATGATATCTATGATGGAGCTTAACATGAATCATGGAACATGCAGTTCTATAATATCTATGATGGAGCATAATGTGAATCAGGGAACATGCAGTTCTTTAATATCTATGATGGAGCATAACGTGAATCAGGGAACATGCAGTTCTATAATATATGTGATGGAGCTTAATGTGAATCAGAGAACATGCAGTTCTATAATATCTCTGATGGAGCATAATCTGAATCAGAGAACATGCAGTTCTATAAAATCTCTGATGGAGCATAATGTGAATCAAAGAACATGCAGTTCTATAAAATTTCTGATGGAGCATAACATGAAACAGGGAACATGCAGTTCTATAATATCTATGATGGAGCATAACACGAATCAGGGAACATGCAGTTCTATAATATCTCTGATGGAGGATAACGTGAATCAGGGAACATGCAGTTCTAGTATATCTATGATGGAGCTTAACATGAATCATGGAACATGCAGTTCTATAATATCTATGATGGAGCATAACATGAATCATGGAACATGCAGTTCTATAATATCTATGATGGAGCATAACGTGAATCATGGAACATGCAGTTCTATAATATCTATGATGGAGCATAACATGAATCAGGGAACATGCAGTTCTATAATATATGTGATGGAGCTAAATGTGAATCAGAGAACATGCAGTTCTATAATATCTCTGATGGAGCATAACATGAATCAGGGAACATGCAGTTCTATAATATATGTGGTGGAGCTTAATGTGAATCAGAGAACATGCAGTTCTATAATATCTCTGATGGAGTATAACCTGAATCAGGGAACATGCAGTTCTGTAATATCTATGATGGAGCATAATGTGAATCAGAGAACATGCAGTTCTATAATATCTATGATGGATCTTAACATGAATCAGAGAACATGCAGTTCTATAATATCTATGATGGAGCTTAACATGAATCAAGGAACATGCAGTTCTATAATATCTATGAGGGAGCATAACATGAATCAGGGAACATGCAGTTCTATAATATCTATGATGGAACATAGCATGAATCAGGGAACATGCAGTTCTATAATATATGTGATGGAGCTAAATGTGAATCAGGGAACATCCAGTTCTATAATATCTCTGATGGAGCATAATGTGAATCAGAGAACATGCAGTTCTATAATATCTATGATGGAGCATATCATGAATCAGAGAACATGCAGTTCTATAATATCTATGATGGAGCTTAACATGAATCAGGGAACATGCAGTTCTATAATATCTATGATGGAGCTTAACATGAATCAGGGAACATGCAGTTCTATAATATCTATGATGGAGCATAATGTGAATCAGGGAACATGCAGTTCTATAATCTCTATGATGGAGCATAACGTGAATCAGGGAACATGCAGTTCTATAATATATGTGATGGAGCTTAATGTGAATCAGAGAACATGCAGTTCTATAATATCTCTGATGGAGCATAATCTGAATCAGAGAACATGCAGTTCTATAATATCTCTGATGGAGCATAATGTGAATCAGAGAACATGCAGTTCTATAAAATTTCTGATGGAGCATAACATGAATCAGGGAACATGCAGTTCTATAATATCTATGATGGAGCATAACATGAATCAGGGAACATGCAGTTCTATAATATCTCTGATGGAGGATAACGTGAATCAGGGAACATGCACTTTTAGTATATCTATGATGGAGCTTAACATGAATCATGGAACATGCAGTTCTATAATATCTATGATGGAGCATAACATGAATCAGGGAACATGCAGTTTTATAATATCTATGATGGAGCATAACATGAATATGGAACATGCAGTTCTATAATATTTATGATGGAGCTTAATGTGAATCAGGGAACATGCAGTTCTATAATATCTATGATGGAGCATAATGTGAATCAGGGAACATGCAGTTCTATAATATCTATGATGGAGCATAACGTGAATCAGGGAACATGCAGTTCTATAATATCTATGATGGAGCATAACATGAATCAGAGAACATGCAGTTCTATAATATCTATGAGGGGGCATAACTTGATCCAGGGAACATGCAGTTCTATAATATTTATGAGGGAGCATAACATGAATCAGGGAACATGCAGTTCTAACTTTAAATCTCTGCTTATGAATTTCTGGGTTATTTTTGCCTTAAACTAGTAATTACATAAGACAATGAAATAAATAGACTTTGTATTGAAGATTAGATGTTTGGGTGATTGTAAAATTTAATGTACTAATTGTATATTTTTGTTAATAGTTTGGTTCCTGTTAACTATTTTATTATCAAACAGCAGTGTACTGTCAGAAACTTACTTATTGCCAACCTTCCAATTTTATATTGATGTATGCAATATTGACAAAGTTCAGTGCTATTACGGACAAAGATATAAAAGTTCCATGAATAGACTTGGTGAACCAAATAAAAATGAAGCTTTATCTGTTGATGCCAGACAGGAACTAGACTTGAGAATTGGCTGTGCCTTTACCAGATATCAAACTAAATTCTTTCAGGTAAAGTACCACTTAATTCATTTACAATGAGAACAATGTTCCAATATAATGTAGTCAATTCCTAAATAATAGTTATATTTTGTGTGAGGATATGAAAAAGGATTGTTCTCCCATCTGTTAAATCCATAAGGCAAAATGAGATTACTATTTATGAAGATATTAGTTTGTATCCATAAGACTCAAATATATCTTAAACAAAAAGGAATGAGTACTATGAAAAAAAAAAAAAAAACCACCATTCTACATACTAGAAAACAGGCATCCAACATATTAGTCAACAAACAGTTAAATAAAAAACAACCATTCAACAGACTAGAAAACAGACATCCAACATATTAGTCAACAAACATTTAAATAGATCATTGCTTTATGTTACACTGTACCTCTTCTTTTTAACTTAATAGATCTGTGGATATTCTATTTGTAGGGTAAATATGGAGATTTAAACAGTACCCTGATATCTTATGGACCATGCCAAACACCTACTTTAGGATTCTTTGTGGACAGACATGATAAAATACAGTCTTTTAAACCAGAGGCTTACTGGGTCATTAACTTACAGGTTAGTTTGATACTATTTGTAATGCTTTTTTGTTATTTAATGTTAACATGGATCTTGTCTATATACCAGCTTTGATTATTTTATTTGGTATTACTACAAATTTTCACTTCTTCGTACTATGAACATCAAAATTATTTCATTTTTCCTTAGATGCTGTTCTTGGACCTGTACAGGAAGTTTTATCTAGCACTAATTGTTTAGTTTTATTGTTGATATTCACCCCATATGTACCAAGTGTTAGATTAGTTTTATTGATATTAAAGAAATTTCTTGGTATTCCTAAACGGAAGATTTTATACACACAGAAGAAGAAGTATACTTAACAACAAAACTATTTTCATTTACCTGTTTATAATATGAAGCAGGTTTCTTCAAAAGTAATGATTTTCTAAAAATTGTTTGACATTTCACAGTGATATCATACTTTAACTTTGTTTAAACCTGTTTATCTACTTTTGACTTTAGTTATTTATCCCTTGTAATTTTTTTATTAACTGTGTATTTGCATTCAGGTGTCTCAGGTCAAATTTATTCGTTCATTGTGTGTTAAGTAACGGTTTTTTTGATTGAGTTAAGCCTTCCAATTGATATTTTATAGTGTGTTTTTCTATGTTGTGATGTTATACTATTGTTTCAGAAAAGGGAGAAGGTTTGGTACCATTAAAAGGTTTAATCCTGCTGCAAATGTTTGCACCTGTCCTAAGTCAGGAATCTGATTACAGTAGTTGTCGTCTGTTTATGTAGTTCATACGTGTTTCTCGTTTCTCGTTTTTATATAGATGAGACCGTTGGTTTTTCTGTTTGAATGGTTTTACACTAGTAATTTTTGGGGCCCTTTATAGCTTGCTGTTCGGTGTGAGCCAATGCTCCGTGTTGAAGGCCGTACCTTGACCTATAATGGTTTACTTTTATAAATTGTAACTTGGATGGAGAGCTGTCTCATTGGCACTCATACCACATCTTCTTATATCTAGTCACATTGATGAAAATAAGAAGATGTTGGATGATGGCCAATGAGACAACTATGAACACCAGAGTTCAAAAGATTTGGATATAAACATATATTGGCTGATGGTATTGCCAGAGTCTTCATAAATTCCTATACAAAATTTGTAATTCGTTGGACATTGGAATTCGTGGTTTCCCTGGTAACCACAAAATCCATGAAAATTGGTATCCAACGAAAAATAATGAATCCACAGTAGTAAAATAACTTATATAGGTAAAGGGAAAGAGGATAAAAGCAATTATAGGTCATTGTTAGGTCTTCAACAATGAGAATCCCTATACCTTATAGTGAGCTATAAAAGGCCGTGACATGAAAAATGTGACACAATTCAAATGAAAAAACTAAAGGCCGTATTTATAACGGTATAATTTTCATAAAATAAATATGACATACATGAGCTAACGACAAGCACTGAATTACAGGATCCTGATTGGGACAGGTACATAAAGAATGTGGTGGGGTTCGACATGTTTTTTAAGTGCTCAACCCTCCCCAATCTGGGATATTTGTTTGTTCAAAAATAACTGCACTGAATGATAAACAGTTACAAAGAGAAACCAGCCGCTAAGATAAGAATAGAAATCACTACTTCAAAGTGTTTATTAAAATAAAAGATATAAACTCAATTGTTGATTTCTGCATCATTTGGACTCATTGGCAATCATACCACATCTCCTTATTTTTATATCAATTGTTAATTTCTGTTGACACCTGAACAAATGAGTACAAAATCTAAGGCCAGGCTTTCAAAGTTTAGCAAAGTTAACAATGAATTTCAAACAATTGGGAGTTATGTATACGTAAACAATGGATGTATGATGTCATCCAATCACAACTGTGATTACAAACAATTCTATTTGAATTCTCATTTTACTGCTTATGAAATACCTAAAAATAAAAAATTTATAATTATCACCAAAAATACTGGACAGCAGGTCTCTTTCAGATACAACCATAATCTCCTTTTTTCATACACATTTTTACTGCTGTAATCATGATACAACTATTTTTGCACAATGTTTCCAAGAAACCATATCCTTCAGCACACATTGATGATAAGATGCTTTCAATATCAGCAAGTTTTATATACTATCATTTTATTTACACCTAGACAGGCTTCCCTTTCATTCTACCACTTCATGAAACTATAATAGTATTTTCAAATGGTTGGTTTGAATTTCTTAGACTTGTCACCTAAGAGACCATTTGTATGTGAAATCTACTGTAAAATATGGTCCATATTACAGATAACTCACCCTGGTGGACGTAGTATTTATCTGGACTGGGACAGAGTCAGAATCTTTGATAAAGAAGTAGCACAGATGTTCCTTAATATGATAAAATCTGCTGACTCAGCAAGGTAAGACCGGAACAGACCACTGGTGTAGTACCCAGTACGAGTGTAGCAATTTGGGCAGTACTAGTATTTTGGCGAAACCACTTAGAATAATGATGCAAAATTGAAGCATTGGTTATTTCCATTTACATAAAAAGCTGTACAACATCTTTCACTGATGCTTTACCAGTGCAGGGTCAAAATATGTACAAATGTACCTCATTGTGAGAAAATGGGAACATTGCATTTTGTCAACTTTGAAAAGCAATAATTGATCTACAAGTAAGTCAACATAGCCATATAGTCTGATTCTTTATAGGATTTAGTGCCTTTAAATGAAGGTTTTTAGCCCAAAGGGCCATGTGAGCTTTTGCTATCACTTTGTGTCTGTCTGCCATCCTTAAAATATACTCCTCTCAAACCACTCTATAGATTGAAATCAAAGTTTGTCTGTTTCTTCTATAAAGTTTTTGATTTTCGTGGGCTACCTGTCTAAAAATAGAACAAAGGGGTCAAATTATAGTTTTTGCTTATATTTCTAAAACTATAGCAAATAGAGAAAAATTGACAGGGTCAGCACATCAAGTTCTATCTACCTTTAAAATTTTGGGATAATCTGCCCTCCTGTTTTGGAGTTATTGCCCCTGAACTGTTTAATTTTAACTTGTTGGCATTTCCTTGGCATTGTTTCAAAAACTATAGGTGTAATACCACCAAAGCATGGTACGTCACATCCGGTTTCATACGAAAAAAGAGTTGAAAAAAAATATTCCCTTGAATTTGACAGTTGTAGGAAACTAATCCTACACTTCATTGTAGTAAATAAATTCTGAGTCATAAACATGATAAACATATATATTGGGTGTTTCAAACACCATTCTTTTTTTATTTGGTGTTTCTATAAAACATTTTGGAAACTTGAGTTGACAAACATGACAAAGCTTGTTAACAGGAAAAAAGAGGTGCAAATGTGATTGGTTAACTTCCGGTGATTGTTATTATATCTTATATATGCAATGAAATGTTATGTGAAGTTTTCACTCTAGTACTGGACATGATAAAAGTTTACTCATGCCAAGTAGTTCTTCATTTGAAAATAGGATAAATTCTGCACAATTTTTTGAAAAAAGGATAAATTCTGCACAATTTTTTGACAAATGCTAATTTAACCAAGACAAATAGGGGAATAACAAGGGTGGTATTACTCCTATGGGAGCTAGCTTAAAAGTGTAAAATGCCAAAATGGTCAACATAACAAATTGCATATACCCGCAGAAAAATTTAACAACATGTTTTGAAGTTATTGCCACTGAAATCCAATTCTCCCCAAACTTTTATCAGTTATTGGCTGTTATTGTGAAAACTTTAGGAGCTAGGTTAAAATTGTGAATGCTAAAAGGATCAGCATGACAACATGGACAAGTTGTATATACACACAGAATTGGAGGAAAATCTGCCAACCTATGTTGAAATTATTGCCCTTAAATTTCATTTTTATAGTTTTGGGCTGTAATTACAAAAACTATAGGAGCAAGGTTAAATGTGTAAACAGCAAAAAGGATCATCATGACCAGATGTATCTATACTACTTAAATAACAAGGCCCAATTTGTAAGCCGGCATGAAGTAAAAACGACGAATCCAGGAATTCAACATTATATATAACTAATATAGGACAATGGTGTTGTTTAAAAATTACACCATTCGATGCCCTTTTGTTTTCCACATAGGTAATATTACCAATAATTAACAAGTTCCAGGATGATGAGTTCAAACAGAAAGATTTTGAAAGCTGAGAAAACTGTGCACCTTATAATCAGCATGACTTTATCAGATGACAATACGAATACTAAAAATCCAGGCTAAAAATAAGGCACAGGTACTTCAATTCAGTCTACTTCTAGTCTACCCTGAAAATTGGAGGAGAATGTGTCTACCTGTTGCTCTCTAAACTAATGAGCTAGCATGTTAAAAACATTGCCAATCATCTTTTTTTTTACTGAAAGCAAAGTTGAAATTCATATTATACTTTTGATTGTCCTATCTTTTCTTTCTAAGATACATAACTGTTGTAAAATCATGATTTTATAACAGAGTTACAAAGGTTGTACAAGAGGAAAAGTTCAAAGGTCGACCACAAGCTCTAAATTCTATAGAAATGTTAAGATCAGCTAGTTCTGGACTAGGTAAAAATGACAGTTATAAGATATTTAAAACAGTCGTCTTGGTCCTGGGTTTTTCTCAATGCCACTTAGTAAGAGTAAGATGAGTCTTTGTGTACTCCTCTCTCTGATAGTTTTAAGTTTTTGTTGAGTCAATTGCATATGTTTTTACAGCTTTTTATCCAGTAGTATGTTTGTACAGATGATGTTACTGGGTTAAGATGGTGTCCAGATAAGTATATATTCACCCCTTCTAGAGCATTGTTTTTGTAAATGCAGTCCTGATATGTTGGTTTGTATTTATGTTGTGGGGTAAGTATTACTTGATGTACAGTAAAAGCTTGTCTTGTCCAAAGAGTAAGTGTAAGCATGAATACGTATAATAAAACATTTTGGTTGTTGATTATGTATCTTATACTAACGGTACTTACAATATGATGGATGTTTCAATCTGAGTCTTTGTGTTCTTTTCTATCACTTCAAAAGTCCAGTTCTGGAAGAGAAAACATTGGTTGGGTGTTTTTGTGGTGATCCTATACAAGAGGTAAGTAGCAAAACCTGATAAGATTAACTCACCTAGAATTTTACTACTCGTCTTGTCTGTTCACTTTTGGCACCTTTGTTTTCTTGGTAGTTTGAAGATGTTGATTAGAATTCCTCTTGTTCAACTCGGATTTCAGATTCCTGATCTATATTGAAGCATTCGGTGTATGTGTTCAGCAATATGTTCTTAGTAATGGCTAGGCTTAGTAGACGTCCAGGATGTATACCGTCCTTGCTTGTTTTATCTAAATGTTATTTTTCTTTGGATTTTGTTATCAAATTGCCTTGGTCAACTCCTCCAATATGTCCTCGTCGAATATTTCAATAAATACAGAATCTGTTATATAGATACAATGGATAAGCGTGGATTCTTGAAAAAGAAACCATGAGCCCGGAGGGCGAATGGTTTGTTTTTCATGAATCTACGCTTATCCATTGTATCTATAACTTAAACTATTGTGTTAATTTCTTTTCAAAATTAAAGCCTTTTCTTAATTAGAAGGTATTGTAAGTGAGTTTAAATAACCATGTTATCGTGTCCAACGATGCATTGATAAATCTCAGATCACAATTAATTGGTTAACAAAATACAAACATAACACTTCTACCTTTAAAGATCTTTATATTACCAGGCATACGAATATTATCTGTTTATACAAAATAAGACATATTCGAAATTATTTCTAATAAAATTGAAAATGGAAATGGAAATGGAGAACGTGTCAAAGAGACAACAACCCGACCAAAAAGCATATATAAAGTATATATAATAAGTATGTTATCGAAATTTTCTAGCACTCTAGGCACATCACGATTTTCTCGCATAGGAATATGCGAAAAAAACTTTGTAAAATTATGTAGTAAAACAGATGAAATCATACTATATTTATAAAACAAAAATTGACAAATAGAATGTAATCATTTTTGTTTCAAACATGTGAAAACAACCGGTAAAACTCGCTATTTTAACAAAAATATCCACTATAGATTCCACTATAAGATGCAAAAACGATAGCATAATTATTGACAATATCAAACCATGATTTATAAGAATATTTTTTTATTACATGAAACCCCACTAGTAACCTTTCTTTGGCTATCTTCGTTCAAACTTTGACAAGTGAGTATATTTTACAAATGTCAAGTTGTTTTGCATATTCCCGTCAAATCCATGTGCTAATATGGATCAGCAGGTCAAGGTTGTCTGTTTCGTGTTTTCGTATTACAAACAAAAAATACATCATGGGGGGAAAGGGGCGGGGGGGGTTGGGGGGGGGGGGGTCCAACCATTCAAATGCATTGATCTTTTAAATAAAAGTCGGGTCCAATCCGCGGAACCCCCAACCCCGGATCGGCCACTGGGTAACCCGGGGGGGGGGGGGTTCCGGGAGTTAGAATCCCCATTTTTTTTAAAGATCAATGCTTTAGGAATAGAGACATATGACTGGGATAAAAAAGAATACCTTAAAGCAAAATAGTATTTAAAGGATTATTTTTGTATTCCATATAGATGCTTATTGGAATTTCCTAAAATGTGTTTTTTTAATATCATGAAACAATTTGTAGTGAACACTTTTAGTAATTTCTTATGTTCATGCTATTTAAAAAATAATCAATTTCTATTGTTACGAATAACAATGGACTTTGTTTGCGGGATGTAGAAGCAGGGGTTTCCAGAAACCCCGCTCGTCACACCTTGAGGTCAAAATCCATTGTTATTCGTAACAATAGATCTATTCAATTTTCACTTGTTTCAGAAATAGAAACTATGAAGTATAACAATAGAACTGGGGTGTAAGAAAAAAGAACCAACAGCCCAATCAGTCAATTTCATCCAGTCTGTAGATAGAACATGTGAGCATCTTTTCGTGGGATTGCATTGCATGTAAATGTACGAATTGCTTAACATTCTGTTTTCTCATGGTCTTCATGCAGTACTCAAAACTAGTTTATCAGCATCATCATGATCATGTTGGATCGAATGACCACTTGAAAGTCCCACATTTACAAACCAGAGGTGATATCATCCACCAAGACGACTAAATCAAAACAATATTTGAGCATTTTAAATGTAAATTTTCAATAAATTAATACAAAGTAACCTAGTCTTAGATGCATGATTTTTTTATTAGTTGTTAGTGGCTTCGAACTAGCTGTCAGTAACTGCGAGTACTCTCAGATCTGTACTTAGTGTCTTTTTGTTGTTTGGATGTACAAGTACCCGGCCACGTCCACTTGTATTTGTAGTATTTGTATTTTTATCCATCTGATGAGTTAAGCTTCTTTCAACTGATTTTTATAGTTCGTTCTTATGTTGTACTGTTACACCACTGTCCCAGGTTACGGGGAGGGTTGGAATCCCGCTAACATGCTTAACCCCACCACATTCTGTATGTATGTGCCTGTCCCAAGTCAGGAGCCTGTAATTCCGTGGTTGTCGTTTGTTTATGTGTTACATATTTGTTTTTCGTTCATTTTTTGTACATAAATTAGGCCGTTAGTTTTCTCGTTTGAATTGTTTTACATTGTCATTTCGGGGCCTTTTATAGCTGACTGTGCGGTATGGGCTTTGCTCATTGTCGAAGGCCGTACGGTGACCTATAGTTGTTAATTTCTGTGTCATTTGGTCTCTTGTGGAGAGTTGTCTCATTGGCAATCATACCACATCTTCTTATTTATATTAACTTGAGAATCTGATTGATATCACAATTGCAGAGTATCATCTTCGATACGGATCGAGACTGAAGTGGATTGACAACAGCATATTTTAAAAAGACTCTCAGAGGTTCCCTAATGAATATAATGTATTTAGAAATGACAGAAACATACCAGGAAGAGACGTCAATATAACAGTAAAAAACAAATATATCATAACCATATCTGTTCCAGAACTGCGAACGGACTATGAAACTGTATATGGTGCAAACTTAAGTTTTGAACTTACATGAATGTGTTTGAATTAGTACAGCATATGCTACAATTTGAAAATATAACATAGTCAATGTTTGAAATATAGCATATGCGATAAAAAAATACAGCATAGCCACACAATTATATATTGACCCTTATGGGGCGTCAAATATAGCTTATGCTACAAAGCTTCAGTATAAAATAAATAGTACATCAATCTCATTCTTGTATTTTTCATCATACGACAAACAATCTATAGCTAGTGCTTGCTGTATGGTGTGATTTTTACTAATTTTGAAAGGTCTCACAGCGACTTTAAGACGTTCAAAGGCATTGTTTTTTGTACCCGTACCTTTATCTTGGTTGTTTGCCTGATATGTTGAGGGATTTCGTAGCACAGTCTACCCTATTCTTTCTCTCTTAAATATAATTCTAAGATAAACACGATTATTTCATGTAAATATTCCGAATATTTCATTAACTCTCTGAAATCAATTACTTTAATCTTAATGCTCTTAATTTTCAAACACCCTAAAGAAAATGTTGTTCTGATTGGCGTTGTCCTAATTTGTGAAAGCCTACAAAGTTGAAGAGTGATTGACAGTAAATATATATTAGCATCATTTGTGATTGACAGTAACCCCACCTTATAACCATATGGCATAATACAGCTTATGCTACATTTACTTTTGATCCTTTCGGGACTGTTATAACTTAAATGTATATTATGTACATATTTCAACAAATTATAGGGTAATCTATATTTTTCTTTTGAACCTTATGGTACGTCATCTGAGCGCTAAAGCTGCATATGCTATATATTACAGCAAAGGCTGCATTTAATATAGCATAGGCTGTATTAATTATAGCATATGCTGTATAAATTATAGCATATGCTATATATTATAGCCTAAGCGACATTAATTACAGCATAGGGTACATAAATTATAGCTTAAGCTGTAATTTATATAGCATATGCTGTATTTAATGTAGCATACGCAAAACAATTTACTTTTGACCCTTTCCGTACGCCATTAAGAAATCTACCCATTTTCATATTACAATCCTTGGACATCAAATGAAGAACGCATAAATCAGTTTGGCATTAGAATAGAAAGAGCACCAATTCATCAGGTTCAAGGATCAACCATGCGTTTGCCGTAACCGCTGTAGATTTCAACCGACCATGATGAGATTGGAAGAACAGTAGGACATACCCTAGCACCAAATTCTCAGTATATATACTTATATATACATGCACCATAAATTCACAGACATACTAGATGATTACGGCTTAAATCAATTAGCCGAAGAACCCACAGGAGGAGCAATATATCAGATCTTATAGTTACAAACAATCCATCTAGTTTCTGTAGTATTGAGATCATACCAGGAATATCAGGTATATCAGATGACAACATAGTGTATTACACCAGCAAGACACCAGCAAAAACCTCGCCAGATACCATTGTATGGCAAAGCAACATGGGGAGAATGTAATAAATAACATCAAACCATCCATCGCTCATTATTACAAGGAAAGTCAGTAGGCAATATATATATGGAATATATTTTAAAAAGGAAAGCATTAAGAACCTCACAAAACAGCAAAGAGTTAAGATGGATTGATGCCTTTGGCTTAATAGGCACTTGAAACAACTCATAAAAAAAAAACAGGATAGGTGGTAACTAGACTCAAGCTGGCAGCCACTTTTAGCAGCCAATCAAGATAGCAGCCACTTTTTTCCAGCAGCCAATTTTGATGATATGTCTAAAAACCAAAAAACTGTATAAGACTCAAACGTTCCAAATATCTCTAAATCTTAGTTAAATGTAATTTAACAGCGGAATTTGACAATTTCACGGCTTGTAGTCATTCTCAAAGGATTTCAGTCCGTTCTAAATACCAATAATGATAGCAGTCACTTTTTTGTTGGCAGTTGTAAGGAATCGTGTTATATATATAATTCAAACCAATTTGGAATGAATAAACCAGATGCAATGCACGATAGAAAAGTTACATACATGCTTTCCATAAACTCGGCATCCTCAAATATCAAGTATTTTCGCTGAAATCATTTTTAATATTTATTTTTGTACATATGAAATGAAAACATTTTGATATACTTGTAATGGTTATCTATATTTTAATGTGAACAAGTATTTTCACAAAACTGATGCGTGGACTATTTTGTACGGCATGCATCATTACCAACTCATTGAATTAAAACTGAAATTTTCCTTGTCAAATGTGCCAGTACAAATAATTGACATATAACTAAAACTGTGGGTAAACGGACCCGGATCCCAGAAAAATATTTAAGCGGGGAATAACCTAGGTCAACACCTTTAAAATGAACTAGGTCTGGTTCGGAACTTTGCCGTAGGGAGTTGCCAAGGAGTACCGAAAGCATGTGTAGTAAATACGAAAAGTACGTATAGGGACAACTTTGAACACCTGTGGTGTCCAGACGTATTTTTTTCTATAACAACAACTTTGAAAATCTACAAATACCGAATGCGCCTAACTCCCAAAAAAACTTTCCAGTGGGGCCTTCCCTAAGTTATTACTTTTCATTTGAGCCATGTCCGGTAGCGAACTTTGCCGTACGAAGCTGGCGAGGCTTACCGAAAGAGTGTAAGGTGGAGACGTATTGTTTTTCTATAACAACAACTTTGAAAATCTACAAATACCGAATGGGCCTAACTCCCCAAAAAACCTTCCAGTGGGGCCTTCCCTAAGTTATTACCTTTCATTTGAGCCATGTCCGGTAGCGAACTTTGCCGTACGAAGCTGGCGAGGCTTACCGAAAGAGTGTTAGGTGGAGACGTATTTTTTTCTATAACAACAACTTTGAAAATCTACAAATACCGAATGGGCCTAACTCCCAAAAAAACCTTCCAGTGGGGCCTTCCCTAAGTTATTACTTTTCATTTGAGCCATGTACGGTAGCGAACTTTGCCGTACAAAGCTGGCGAGGCTTACCGAAAGAGTGTAAGGTGGAGACGTATTTTATTTCTATAACAACAACTTTGAAAATCTACAAATACCGAATGGGCCTAACTCCCAGCCTTCCCTAAGTTATTACCTTTCATTTGAGCCATGTCCGGTAACGAACTTTGCCGTACGAAGCTGGCGAGGCTTACCGAAAGAGTGTAAGGTGGAGACGTATTTTTTTCTATAACAACATTTTTGAAAATCTACAAATACCGAATGGGCCTAACTCCCAAAAAAACCTTCCAGTGGGGCCTTTCCTAAGTTATTACTTTTCATTTGAGCCATGTCCGGTAACGAACTTTGCCGCACGAAGCTGGCGAGGCGTACTGAAAGAGTGTAAGGTGGAGACGTATTTTTTTTCTATAACAACAACTTTGAAAATCTACAAATACCGAATGGGCCTAACTCCCAAAAAAACCTTCCAGTGGGGCCTTTCCTAAGTTATTACTTTTCATTTGAGCCATGTCCGGTAGCGAACTTTGCCGTACGAAGCTGGTGAGGCTTACCGAAAGAGTGTAAGGTGGAGACGTATTTTTTTTCTATAACAACAACTTTGAAAATCTACAAATACCGAATGGGCCTATTTCCCAAAAAACCTTCCAGTGGGGCCTTTCCTAAGTTATTACTTTTCATTTGAGCCATGTCCGGTAACGAACTTTGCCGTACGAAGCTGGCGAAACTTACCGAAAGAGTGTAAGGTGGAGACGTATTTTTTTCTATAACAACAACTTTGAAAATCTACAAATACCGAATGGGCCTTACTCCCAAAAAAACCTTCCAGTGGGGCCTTCCCTAAGTTATTACTTTTCATTTGAGCCATGTTCGGTAGCGAACTTTGCCGTACGAAGCTGGCGAGGCTTACCGAAAGAGTGTAAGGTGGAGACGTATTTTTTTTCTATAACAACAACTTTGAAAATCTACAAATACCGAATGGGCCTAACTCCCAAAAAAACCTTCCAGTGGGGCCTTCCCTAAGTTATTACTTTTCATTTGAGCCATGAACGGTAGCGAACTTTGCCGTACGAAGCTGGCGAGGCTTACCGAAAGAGTGTAAGGTGGAGACGTATTTTTTTTCTATAACAACAACTTTGAAAATCTACAAATACCGAATGGGCCTAACTCCCAGCCTTCCCTAAGTTATTACCTTTCATTTGAGCCATGTCCGGTAGCGAACTTTGCCGTACGAAGCTGGCGAGGCTTACCGAAAGAGTGTAAGGTGGAGACGTATTTTTTTCTATAACAACAACTTTGAAAATCTACAAATACCGAATGGGCCTAACTCCCAAAAAAACCTTCCAGTGGGGCCTTCCCTAAGTTATTACTTTTCATTTGAGCCATGTCCGGTAGCGAACTTTGCCGTACGAAGCTGGCGAGGCTTACCGAAAGAGTGTAAGGTGGAGACGTATTTTTTTTTTATAACAACAACTTTGAAAATCTACAAATACCGAATGGGCCTAACTCCAAAAAAAACCTTCCAGTGGGGCCTTTCCTAAGTTATTGCCTTTCATTTGAGCTATGTCCGGTGTCGAACTTTGCCGTACGAAGCTGGGGAGACTTGTCGAAAGAATGTACGGTGGACACGTAAAAAAAAAATTAATACCAACTTTGAACCCCTTCAATTCCCAGAAGGTCCTAACCCCCAAAAAATCATTTCAGTGGGTCCTGCTCTGATTCATTACCTTTCATTTGAGCTATGTCCGGTGTCGAACTTTGCCGTACGGAGCTGGCGAGACTTGCCGAAAGAATGTACGGTGGACACTTAAAAAAAAAATTAATACCAACTTTGAACCCCTTCAATTCCCAGAAGGTCCTAACCCCCAAAAAATCATTTCAGTGGGTCCTGCTCTGATTCATTACCTTTCATTTGAGCTATGTCCGGTGTCGAATTTTGCCGTACGGAGCTGGAGAGACTTGCCGAAAGAATGTACGGTGGACACGTAAAAAAAAAATTAATACCAACTTTGAACCCCTTCAATTCCCAGAAGGTCCTAACTTTCAAAAAATCATTTCAGGAGGCTCTGGTCTGATAAAAATCAATTGATAGAAATCGTATGTATGTTTTTTGGTAGATTTTAAGTCCCTGTCTATGATTTTCGCAAGAGTGTCCGTAGATAAAATTCATCTCGCCTTGTTATTTTGTCGCCATCCTGAGTTTTTTTGTTGTTGTCTTAAATGTACATTGTACATTATATGAATAACTTAATGAGAAAAGCCAAATTAAATTTTTAAAGGGCAATGAATGAAAAAAAATCGTAAGCTTAAAATTATTTATTCAGCAACACAACAGATGTCACATGTCAAGCAGGATCTTCCTACCTTGCCACAGATCCAATATATTTAAGGTCAGCTCATCCATGTAGACGGTTTCGATAATTTAACAACCCAATTCAAGTTTTTTTTACATGTTGACATGATTTAGTGTGAATCAATATTTCTATTGATATGTACTATCTAAGGCCATCCTGTTTTTTCCTAAAACTTTCATAACACAAATCTATTTTATTAAAGAAATATGTAATTTTAGGGGATATAAAAGATGACTTAGTCAGGGTACGAAGGTTCGAATCCTTCCCTAGGCTTTAACCATATTAGCTGGTCGCAAAGAGGACAGATTGCCTAGTGGCCTCGCCCTGCTAAAGTTTTCTTTTTTCAGATTATAGTAATGCACATGTATAAAAAAATATGCTAAGTGTTTCATTTAATGCGGGGAGGGTGAGGGGGTGCAAATTAACACAACTACTGGTAAATTTTCTCAATTTACCAGTAAAGCACAAGCTGTGAACAGAATATAAGTCAGTATTTAACATCCCAGGTTCATGTATCAACCTGCAATTTACACATTGCAAATTTCTTAATGGTCTAAATCAAATAAGTGAAAACAGACTGTTATACTCTACACATCTGGCATCCAAAAAAGAACGAATTTCACTGTTAAGTAAAAAAACATGTACTTTAAATGTAGTTCATTTCAAAACTTTATAGCAAGATATTTTTCTAATTAAACAGACAACAAATCAATAAAAAAAACTAAAGAAAAATAATACCATATATCTTTTTTTTTCAATTTGAATACTTAGAATTCCAAGAATATGAATCTTCAACCAGGCCTTGGAACGCAGAAATCGTTTTCTTTTAAAAAAAGTTCAAGATTACACATTGGCGGAAATATACTCTGTTATACCTACAGACATAAAATAGTTCTCAGCACAAGGATTAATTGATTGAGGGTTGTTTTCATTTTCGTCTAGTGACAAACAGTTCGTGCAGGTTTAAAGCGAATTAGTACAACCGATAAAATGTGACATGACTTTAAAGCAGTTTGTACGAAAACTTTAAATGTGTAAATATGCATTTTTTTTTCAATGAGATAAACAACCTGTAAATTATAATTGATTTGTATTATATCTTGAAAACCAACAAAAAAA